ACGCTGACGCCGCGCGGCCTGGGGCGGCCCGGGGTGAGCGGGTTGAAATCTGGAAAGGGCTTCCCACAGCTCCGAAGGGTCGAATTGTGCCATCATGGCTGCCTCAGCTCCTGAATCCACTGTAAACATTCACTTTTCGTGGTCATTTCGACTTAGGGGGAGAGCCAGGCGTCTCACTAAATCCAGTGAATAAGGTGGATGGGGGCACACGGGTTGTCTTTGACAGATTGCTGGACGTGTTTGATCAGTGAGGGATGACCAAGAAATACAGTAAATATTTAAATTTAAAATATGTATTACTGTGAAAGACACATTGCCATAATCCCCCTTGTTACAACGAAAAGACTTAGCCTTGTTTTGAGCATTCATTCTATCATTCTTGAAGTGATTTTATGGGGGAGGTACTGGGGATTTAACCCAGGACCTTGCACTTTCGAGGCAGAGGCAGGCGTGGCACCACTGAGCTAAATCCCCAGCCAATGTAGTAAATTTTCTTAAACATTTAACCGCATGTGTTGATCACCTCTTGTATATAATGATGGCTATTGTTATAGCTACCATTCCTTCCAGGCACAATCATTTCATTCTCACGGCAACCCTTAGATAAATTCTTTTATTTCACAGGTCAGTTAGCAGAGTTTTGGAGAGAATTTAGTCAAGGTCTAAAGCGCTAGGAAATTTAACCCTTGAGTGTATCTAACGCAAGTCCTTGACCTTAACAGGCCTCTAATTTTAAAGAGTCAGCAACTGCTAAAAGTTATATTATTGACATCTTTTCAACCATATATTGTAGTTTCTTTTTGTGTTATTAAAATAAGTGGAGCCATCACATTAATTTTAACCCATTTGAAGATTAGCTGGTCATATCCTTTACTGAAAATAAAATGGGAAATTGTTTTCATCTTAGCTGAAGCATTGTAAAGTTAGCAAACACTTTTAACTAGATTTCTTAGGTTTTAGTTTCTGTGGAAACAAACCCATTCAACTTAAAACTTGTATTCTAGAACACAGTGATTTTACTGTTTAATACCAAGAAAACGGATCTTCTTGAGGGTGTGGATGCAGCTCAGTGGTAAAGCACTTGCTTAGCATGCTCAAAAGCCCCTCAGTCCTGCAAAACATGCAAACAGGAAAAAACTGGTCTTTGAATAATTTTTCCCAATAGTAATGATGAATTTGACTAGATGTTGTCGTCTTTTACCCAAATCCCTTTTTTAAAAAACACTAAAAAGCCTAATTATAAACAATAATAGGTTTCATTGGGCATTTTAGTACACATATATAACAACTTTAATTATATCTACCATTCATCATCTTTTTTTACCTTCTTGTCCCCAGGCACACTTTTTCTTCTCTAATAGCTCCCCTTCTAATCTACTTTCACGTCTACTTTGTTTTTCCCCTACTACATTCCACATGTGAGAGAAAACATAGGACACTTGAGTCTGCCTTATTTCACTTAACAAGGTGATCTCTGGTTCCATCTGTTTTTCTGCAAATGACATGATTTAATTATTTTTTTTAACGACTGAGTATACTCCATTGTGTATATGTACCATATTTTCTTTACTCATTCATACACTGGATATTTTGTGACTTTGATATTGTGACTAGTGCTGCAGTAAACATGGGTATGCATGTATCTCTATAGTATAAAAGACCTAATCTTAAAAAAGCTTATTCACTATGGTAAGTATTTCTTCAGTCTGACACAAATTAACAAAATTCAAGGAACCCTGACTATAATCCAAGGCCTGTGCTGGGCGCTAGGGGAATAGAATTCTTACATGGAAAAGAATTTTTTATTTTAGTACTTGCATAAATCACATAAAATGATACAACTTAATTCAATTTAATCATTTATAGAGTTCTCATTATGTACAGTGTATAACTGAGTATGGGAGATACAAAGATGAACATTAAACTTTTGCCCTTAAGGCATTTTAAATATAGAATGGGAGAAAAGATTATTCAAAATAGTATTTATACCTAAATATACTTATAATAAATGCAATACAAGTAGAACAAGATACGTGATATTTGAGCTATGATCAGGACTGTGGGTGCACGGCAGCTGTGGCTGGGTAAAGGCACCATCAGAGGTGAAGTGCTGGTCTGGGCAGGAAAATGGGGAGATAGGGATTGAGTCCTGTGCTCTATGCTGGGCCAGACACAGTCTTCATACTCTCCCATTTTCTCTCTGTGTCTCATTGGAAATCTGAGCCTCAAAGAAAGTGACCCTCAGCACACTGCTACTTTGGATGTAGTTTTCAAAACAGCTCTATGGAGGCCAGGAATGTAACTCAGTGGCACTGTGCACAAGGTTGGAGTTTGATCCCTGGTACTGCAAAACAACAACAACAAAACCAAACCAAAAGACTTAATTCTATGGCTGAGAAGTAACTTAGTGGTGGAGCACTTGCCAAGAGTGACCAAGACCCTGGGTACCAGGAAAACAAACAAACAAAAAAAAACAAAAAAAGAAAAAAATTCTATTTGACCCCATTGCCTATGCACTCTCTGGTATTATTTATGCCGTGACCACAGGAGTTAGAATTTATTCTGGTGACCTTTGCAAATTAGGAATCACTGAAGATTATTGAGCCAGGAATTCACATAATTGGAGCCAAATTTAGGAAAATATTCTCAGAGTCCTGAAGAGGGTTTGAGAGACAGACTGGACGCAATTGAATTAGAAAAAAACAGTTCAAATAAAAATGGCATTTCACCCCTGCAAAGATGACAGGAATGAGAAGAAAATACTAGGAAAGGCTTAAGGAGATGCAGTGTGGGACTGGGGCCATTGGGTATGAGTGATGATGGAGAGGAATTGGTCAGGATCACTGAGAAGCCTCACTTTCAGGTTTTGGAGATGCTATACATAGAGGTAAATTAAGTACAGAGTCCATGGATTAGCTAGTCCTCTACTAGCTCTCATGTTCAGCCTTTTTACTGACAATAAATTGGGCCCTTGACTTATGATTTTACTTCATTCCCATGGGCTGGTTGTAACTCATGTTGGTCAATGAAGGTTCAAGCTCTTCTACATGGCCTTAAGTCTGTCTCCTGTACACAAGCAGATCTCAGTGTCCTTAGACATTTCCTGGGATTTCTTAGTTAACCCCACACAGGAAAGAATGTTATGTTCCTTCCTGAACTCTCTAAGGGTTAAGTCTATCTGAGACCATCTGGAAGTATAAGAGGCCGGCATTTGGGTCATAACTCAAAATACTTTTTGCATAATTTTAAAACTAAAAGTTCCTGTCCTAACCCAAATTGTTTGTATGTTAGGCTGTTTGTAACTCCAGGGTCTGCTGTGTTTGTGGAGTACAGTGTGAAGTTTTGATACATATGTATAACCTGGCATTATTAAATCAAGCTAATTAACAAATCCATCACCTTGCCTATTTACCTTTATTGTGGTGAGAACATTTAAAATGTACCTTAGTAATTTTAAGTGTAAAATACCTTATTACTACCTGTGGCCAACATGACATTCAGAAAACCACTAAAACTTATTT